GATATATAAAGCAAATATTATCAGGCCTAAAGGGAAAGATAGATACCAATACAATAATAGTTGGGGATTTCAACACCTTATTCTCAGCACTGGATAGATCATCTAGATAGAAAATCAAACAAGCAACATTGGATTTAAACTGCACCATAACCAGATGGACCTAACAGACATTTACAGAACATTTCATCCAATGGCTGGAAAATACACATTATTTTCATCAGCTCGTGAAACATTCACCAGGATTGATCATGTTAGGCCACAAAATAAGTCTCAATAAGTTAAAAAAAAATCAAAATTATGTCAAGTATATTGCACAATTGAACAAAACTAAAAATCAATAACAAGGGGAACTTTTGAAACTACACAAATAAATGGTTGTGTGGATTGATTGAATTGTTTCCCAAAGTTCGTATATTATAAGCTTAATTGCCACTGTAACTGTTGAGGGTGGCAGCCTGCCAAAGACACCTCCACATCCACTACTGCCACAAGGGCAGCCTGCTAACATGGCAATGACACAACCCCCCCCCCCCTATGAAGGAGGAAATCTACAAAGAAATTAATACATTAAAAAAGAATGTAGCAGAACTCATGGAACTGAAGGAGTCATCCAGTAAAATAAAAAGCACAACTGAGAAAACCACATTGAGATATCATCTCATCCCAGTTAGACTGGCTATTATCAAAAAGACTGACAGTAACAAACACTGGAGAGGATGCAGAGAAAGGGGAAGCCTCCTACGCAGTTAGTGAGACTGTAAATTAGTGCAGCCATTATGGAAAATGGTATGGAGGTTCCTCAAACAACTACAGATAGAACTGTCATACGATCTAGCAATTCCACTGCTGGGTATATACCCAAAGGGATGGAAATTGTCATGTTGAAGGGATGCCTGCAACCCCATGTTTACTACAGCTCTATTTACAATAGCCAAGAGTTGGAAACAACCTAAATGTCCATCATTGGACAACTGGATAAGGAAAATGTGATAATATGTAGACAATAGAATACTACTCTGCCACAGATAAGAATGAAACATGTTTTGTAGAAATATGGATGAACTTAAAGAAAATCATGTTAAGTGAAATAAGCTAGGCACAGAAAGAGAAATACTACATGTTCTCACTCATAAGTGGGAGCTAAAAAAAAAACAAATTAATAAAAAGAAAGAAAGATATAATGATCACAATAATACATGGAACTTTCAAAAGGAGAGAACAGAACTGATGTTGCCAGAGGTGGGAAAGGGGGAGGGGAAGGGTGATAAGGGGGGAACTGGTAAAGGACCAGGAAAAGTGAAAGCATTGTATAATGTTGAATATACTAACTATCCTGATTCGAGCATCATATATTGCATGCAGGTATTGATATTCAACTCTGTTCCCCACAGATATGTACTATCAACTATGTTTCCATTTAAAAAGAAAACCTACAAAAAACTGATTAAGGATGTAAAAAATGATTTAAAGAAATGGTAGCTGATTCGCATGGGCTGGAAGACTCAATATTCTTAAGAAGTTATCTCTTGAGAAATTAGTCTGGAGATGCAACAAAATCCCAGTTAAAATATGAATAGAAATTTTGGGGGACAAATTGACAATTTGATTCTAAAATCTAATGGCAAAATACCCTACTATAAATCAAAATTAATTTTAGAAGAGAGTAACAAAGTTGGAGACTCACATTACCTTATTTCCAGACTTACTTTTAAGTTATAATAATCAAGAAAGTATGGTCCTAGAGAAAGAATAGAAATATCGTCCAGTATAGAGAGTATAGAATAGCATAAAGAGTATGGAAATGGATGCACTCAGATTTCATCCTCATATTTTTTGACGAGGCGGAAAAAGGCAATTCAGTGGAAAATAGTCTTTTCAACAAATAGTGCTGGAAAAATTGAATATTCATGTGCAAAAAATAAATGGAGAGAGAGAGAGAGAGAACATCAATCCATACCTCTCACTCTATTCAACACTTAACTCAAAATGGATTGTAATATTTGTATGAGCACTGAGAAGGTTTCACATGACATCCTGCTCTGTGGAGTTAGAGAAGTCTCAGAGCAGACAGCAAGGAGTATGTGGAGAAGGATTGATGTGGGTTGCTGTCAGGTTGCTTCTACCAAAGCTAATTGAAGCCAATGCAGAACTGGTTCCCACAGGTGTGGCTGAAATAAGAGGCTGAAAGAAAATAAAACAATGCACGAGAAGTGTGCAGTTCTCAAGAGATGTATTTTTGTACCAAGGGATGTTCCAATGGTTTCATTGAATTAAAGTTGAGCTTACATTGGACATTTTTTGGTTCTTATGTAAACCAAATACAAAGAGAGGGTTGTCATTCTGCCTGAAGTGATTGATACTGCTTACCAAGGGAAAACTTGGTTGCTGTATACAACTGGAGCAGGGATGTGGGTTGCTGTCAGGTTGCTTCTACCAAAGCTAATTGAAGCCAATGCAGAACTGGTTCCCACAGGTGTGGCTGAAATAAGAGGCTGAAAGAAAATAAAACAATGCACGAGAAGTGTGCAGTTCTCACGGGATGTACTTTTGTACCAAGGGATGTTCCAATGGTTTCATTGAATTAAAATTGAGGTTACATTGGACATTTTTTGGTTCTTATGTAAACCAAATACAAAGAGAGGGTTGTCATTCTTTTTTTTTTTTGAATTTTTATTTTGTCAGTATACAATGTAGTTGATTATTATGTCCCATCACCGAAACCTCCCTCCCTCCTCCCTCTCCCCTCTCCCACCCAAGTGTGTCCCCTTCACTTGCTTGTTGTAAGAATTTCAAAAAAAAAATTGTGGTTGTTATATTCTGCCTGAAGTGATTGATACTGCTTACCAAGGGAAAACTTGGTTGCTGTATACAACTGGAGCAGGGAGGACCATGTTTGAAGTTCTGGGGAATTTTGGGGGTGGCACCTCTCCAAATGTAGGCTCCAGCCACACAGTCCATTCCCTAAACAGGCAATGACTAAGCATCCATCCATGAGCTTCTCCATCCTCATGACCCCCAAAGTATAGTCAAGTGTGATCAGTGACAGTAATCATTCACCACTGCAGGACTCTGAGAGAATTTGTCCTAGACAGGTCCTAGGTAATTACTTTGTCTTTAATGAGTTCCTCCAGGATCCAAACTCCTCTGGGATGCAGAGCCCCTCGGGCCTAGGGATGGGCAGAATGGGAGATGTGAGAAGGGATGGTGCAGACAGACATAGGTGATGACTACAGGGGCTGTTACTTCACATGTCTATAATGAGTAAAGGGAGCAGGGTCTTGGATCTGGGTGCTGGAGTCACTCTCAAACACACTGGGTAAGTTGGGCAGGGGGGTGAATGAGCTGGTGCCTTAGTGTCTTGCTAGCCTGAGGGTCTTGTTTTCCTTAGTTGTGTGATGTTCTGCAGGATGCTTTTTCAGATTTAACTTTCCTCTTCTCCACCTCTCTGCCTCCCAAGACTTTCCAACATTCTACAAATAGTTTTACTAACGTTTGACAGTTGCTGATGATAGCATTTATGAATATTACTTACTATGCAATATATTCTCACAAGATCATACCATTTCAATGTAATGACAGCTCTGTGAGGTCAGCTTTAGTGGAGTAGTTCTTAAGCGTTGTTTTGTTTTAAAATCATCTGTGGAGCTTTACAAAAACTTTGCACAGGCCTACTCTCAGAAATTGTGATTAAATGTATCTGAGGGGACCTAGTAAGCTGTAATTTAAAGAAAACTTACATCCTTGCTACTTAAGTGTGGTTCATGGACTACACTTGATGCATTACATAGTGATGCGTTGGAATCATCTGGGTGTTAATTAAAAATGTTGAATCTGAACTGCAGAATTAGTAAAATAAGTATTATGTCTGAGATACCTTAATATTTTCCATGGGTACAAAATTACATTCATGAAGTTTATAATAGAGTGTCAAAATTTAGTACTAAATGGTTAAGTCTAGTGAGTTCTTGTTCTGGCAAGAATTAGCCATAGTGGTAATTATGACTTGATAGAGTTTTGCTGCCTTTAAAGCTTGAGGAATCCATGAAACACAGCCAACCAAAAACAGCCAGAAAAACAGCCAACAAATACTAATGAAACGTTAGCCACATCCAGCACCAGGCCAGGTGCTGGCCCTGCTGCATTCATGAAGGTAGACATGGCCTTCTCTGCATGGAGTTTACAGTCTGGTAGAAAAGTTCAGCCATAACCCAGTAATCAAGGGCATTGAGTGCTACTGGATGGGTACAGGATGCTGTGAAACAGCAGCAGGTCTCACTCGGTCTGGGGAGACAGGGAAGGTTTATCTGAGCAACATGTAATAATATACTTGACATGTAATAATATACCTGAAGAGTAAGTAGGGATAAGCCATGAGCAGAGGGAGCAGGGGAAGGAAGGTGCTGGGCAGGAGACTGGAAGAGGAGCAGGGTGAAGTCGTAAGTTTCCTTTGGGGTCTGTTGAGCTTAAAATGCCTGTGGTACATCCTAGGGAATGTAATCACTGAGCCTTGGGATATAGAGTTCTGCAGGTTAGAGAGACATCCATACCTGACTTTTAAATGGTAACTGAAGCCATTGGAGTATGTGAGTCCTTCCTGGAGGTATATGTAGACTTATAAGAGAAAAGTGTTTAGAAAAAGCCCTGAGGAACATGAACATGTAAGAGTCTGACAGAGCAGGAGCTAATTCTAGTTACTGAGGGTGACTGGCCAGCAGGTAAGAGAAACATTTGTGTTTCAGAAGAAAACAGGCAAGAGTGTTTTAGAAAGGTGGGGTATTGTAACATGTTAAAGAGAAGTGAAAGAAACAAGCTATTTCTGATTATAGAGATGCTAATTATAGGCATTTAATGTATTGAGATTATAATTATTGTGATGACAGCGAAATGAAGAATTTTTGCCAAACACCTTATAGACCATGTGTTGTAGAAATATACTCATTTTTAAAATTCAAATTTAAAAGGAATCTATTATCTTCCCTTAAAGATACTGGAGACAGTCTATGACAGGAAGAAATCAAACCACCTTCTCAGAGTTTCTTCTCCTGGGCCTTCCCATCAAACCCGAGCAGCAAAACATGGTCTGTGCCCTGTTCCTGGTCATGTATCTCACCACTGTCCTGGGGAACCTCCTCATCATTGTCCTCATTCGACTGGACTCCCATCTCCACATGCCCATGTATTTCTTTCTGAGCAACTTGTCCTTCTCTGACCTCTGCATGTCTTCTGTGACCATTCCTAAATTGTTGCAGAACATGCAGATCCAAGTCCCATCCATCCCTTACGCAGCCTGCCTGACCCAAATGTACTTCTTCCTGTTTTTCGGAGACCTGGAGAGCTTCCTCCTTGTGGCCATGGCCTATGACCGCTATGTGGCCATCTGCTTCCCCCTGCACTACACCGCCATCATGAGCCCCAGTCTCTGTCTCTGCCTGGTGGTGCTGTCCTGGGTGCTGACCACGTTCCATGCCTTGTTGCACACTCTGCTCATGGCCAGATTGTCTTTTTGTGCAGACAACGTGATCCCCCACTTTTTCTGTGATATGTCTGCTCTGCTGAAGCTGGCCTGCTCTGACACTCGAGTTAATGAGTTGGTGATATTTATCATGGGAGGTCTCATTCTCGTCATCCCATTCTTACTCATCATTGTTGATTTGTGATGTCACCTTTCACCCAGTTACCTGATCAGCCACTTTTGTATGTGTACACATGCAATTTTGTATTTTGCCTTTTTGATTTAATATCCTATTTCCTGAAATATTTTATTATTCTCCACAAGGTTGTTAAGGTAACACCAGTTTTCGTAATGTATAAACTCTGAATTTGTAGTGGAATAATACAACAGAGGTATCAGTGGCAAGAAAAAAGATTAATATTTAAATCGAATCACTTTTCTCTATACTAGAATAACCCATTTAAAAAGACAATGAAAAATGAATCCTTTTCTTAATAGTAATTAAAATTAAAAGTAGGTGTAACAACCATGAAAGTTTTAAAGAAAACTTTAAAAATTTAATGAAAGATGGAGAAGAATTCTATAAGAAATGGACATATATAATGACTCCAGAAATGGTGTCTCATTATTAACAGCTTTTTGAAGATTAATTTTTATACAATAAAATCAATCCAATTAATATCATAGAATTTGGTGACTTCTGAAACCTCAGTATTTTTACGACATAATTCTCCTTAAATACATTTAATGCAGTCCTAACCAAGTTCCCAGCGGACTTGTTTTTGTGGAAACTAACAAGCTTATCTTTAAGTTCACTTGAAAGAAAAAATGGGTAAAATTTCTTAGAAATAATTGAAAAATGAAAACCATAAGTTGGTTCTTTGCCAACCAGCTATCAATATACATTGGGGAAAAAACCCAATAACTACAACAGTATATATTTATGCAAGAATTGACAAAAAGATCAGTGAAGTAAAAAGAAGGTTAAAAAATGGTCCTGTGTATGTGGGGATTTATTTTATGATGGAAATCAGTGTGGGAAGGGATATACTACTCAAAGAACAGCACTGGAGAAATTGTTGTGGGAAATATTAAATGAATTCCTTACACTACAAGTGAAAGTATGTTTTAGATGGTTTAAAAAGCTAAATGTAAATTACAATATATAAAAATAACCTAATAGAATATTTATACTTCATGCAAAACTCAGAAACTATATAAAAAGATTGACATATTTAGCCATATAGAAATGAACTTTTCTAGGACAGGAGGTAACGTGAACAAATTAGAGCAGTGACAGCCTGTAACATGTCTAACAGACACAAAATTAAAATTAAAAATATACAAAGAACTTCCATAAATAATCTAAAAAGAAAAACAACTGAAAATAAAAATGTACATGGAATATTAACAGAACATTTCTAAAGAATAAACAATATGAAAAGATGTTCAGCTTCAGTGTTAACTAGGAAAATGCAAACTGAAAAACAATGTTACAATTCAATGACCACATACTTTGCACATTTATAAATGACTGACCTATGGTAATAGCAAAGATGTGGCAATAGGGGACTCAAATATGTCTCAATTTTTTTGAAGTATAATTTTCTTTTTTTTTTTGCGTGATAAGAAATCAAATTTATTTTTTGTGTCTAGGACAGTTATTAGATCAGAATATGTTTCCTGAAGTATAATTTTCATACGAAAAAATGCACCCATTTTACATGTACAGTTCAATGAGTTTGGTGGTTAGAAGCACTCGTGTAACCTCTACCACAATCCAAATGCAGAATAATTTCATCACCTCACAGCTCACTGAGATCCCTTGCAATCAGTCTCCTACTCCTGCCACTAATCTGACTTCTGTCTCTCTGATTTCTATCAATCCAGGTTAGATTTGTTTGCTTTTGAACTTTATGTAAATGGAATCATTAGTATGTACTATTTTGTATCTAACTTCTTTAGCTCCACATAATTTTTTGTAGATTCAGTCATGTAATTGCATGTACCAGTAGTTTGTTTCTTTTTATTACTGAGTAGTATTCCATTGTATAAATGTATCAAAATTAGTTCATTCATTCACCATTTGATAGATTTTGGATTGTACTCAGTTTTAGATTATGAGTTGTTGAAAAATGCTGTTCTTTCCCATATGGAACTATCTGGGTACCGTTGTACAAACCCAGCCAGCCACATGTGATTGGATTCATTTCTGGGCTCTATTTTGTTCCTTACTCAAATGCTCACATCATTCTCTGTCTGTCACATCATGTTTTTCCTCATGTATTCTCATATGTATATTGTCTTTTCTAACCCAGCCTTACCCTAAAAGAATCATTTTGTCTCATTTATGATAGCAATAAATTTTGGTGTCTTTAATGCTATTTGTCTTAAATTCCACTTTGTTAGTAAAAGATAAAGCTTATTATTTGCATTTATTACCATAAAACAAATTTTCTTTACTTTGTTGTTGTTAAACAGAATTCTTTATATCATTATTTTAATAATCTGACTTTGAAACTTTGAATTCTTTATTTTGATTAATTATTCAGTTATTTGGACTGCATCAAATCATTTTTAATGGAATGACACATGCATGTTATATTTTTTGAATTTTCTCATATTTTAGATTGTCCTTTTGTATATGTATTTATACCAAAAGGACAACTTGGCGAGGTGTAGAGTTTCATGGATGTCTGTTTTCTAATTTAAAACACATTTTGAAAAAATAGCTTTGGAAAAATCTGAAGTGAGGCTTCCTCTTCCCTCTACTCCTTATGTGGTCATCTTTCCCCCTGTTGATGCTCATAGGATTATTTCTCCAAACTTGAAATGTAGTAGCTTCATCAGACTGTTTTTGTAGTTGCTGACTTTTATTGCAATTTTATCATAACACAGCAAATCCCTTTGATTTCCAAGTCTGCACCTCCGTTTCAAGAGCATTTTTGACTATTACATGTGAATAGTATTGTTCCGTAATTTTTCCTGTTCTCTCCTTTGTAGGACCAATAATTTTGTAGAAGGTTTGAATTTTATGTACCACAATTAATATACACAAAAAATTGTCACTTTATTTTTGCAAATAAAAATGGAAAACGGAATGTACAATATTATGATTATGTAAATATTATCACTGCAAAAACAAGATGTATGATGGAACTCATAGATTTGAAAAAATAAAGTCCTACACCATTAAACCTATGACATTCAAAGCAAAGATCACAAGCTCAACGCCACGTTTGTTTCCCTTTCTCATACTCCATTCACGTTAGTTTCTCTTTCTCATACTCCATCAGCTGCTCAAATCAGGCCACATTATCATTTGTTTATCATTTGTCAGTATCTCTTCCTCTTTTCCCTTCCTCCCACTTTTCTTATTTATTTTTCTTCCCTCCCTCCTTCCCCCACTTTCTCTCTCACTCTTTGTCTCTTTCTTCTTTTTTTAATGGCTGAGCCATTTGAGGTAATTTTCAGACATCAAGAAACTTCACCACTAAAGAGGTCAGCATCCAGAATCTCCTAGAAACAAGGACATTCTTGTACAAAACTACAATACCATGACATCCAAGAGATTTAACATTAATACACACATATTTCATATACTATCTATATACGTATTTCCCAAGTTAAAATATCTATTTTTATGAGATGTATTAATGTTTAATTCAAATACCATGCCATTCGCCAACTTAAAGTCTACAATTAAATAGTTTTTTTGTATATTCACAAAGTTATGCAAACGTCAACATGAGAGATTTTAGGACCTTTTTTTACCCCAAAAGAAGTCCTGCGCCTGTTGATAGCCACTCTCTATTTTCCCCAGCCATCCCTCCCACCCATGCCTAGGAAATCCCTGATCTACTTTATTTCTCTATGGATTTGCCCGTTCGTGATATTTCATATAAACACAATCATACGCTATGTGGCCTTTATGACTGCCTTCTTTCAATTAGCACAACATTTTTAACGTTTTTAAGGTTCCTGCATGTTGTGATATGCATCAGCAGCTCATTACTCTTATTGCTGAATAATATTCCATTGTATGAATATGCCATATTTTATTTATCCAGTCTTCAGTTGGTGGTCGTTTCCACTTTGGAGCTGTTATGAATAATGCTGCTGCAAAAATTCATGTACAAGTATTTATGTAGTGAAATTTTTTTCGGCATATACATAGGCATGTAATTGCTGTGTCATATGCTAATTCTATTTTAACTTTTGAGGGACCCCCAAACTATTTTTCCATAGCACCTGCACCACTTTACTTTCCCACTAACAATGTGCGAAGTTTCCAATTTCTCCACATTCTCACCAACACTTGTTATTGCCATTTAAAAAAATCATGGCCATCCTTGTGGGTGACTAGCCATTTTAGAAAGCTTTCCTTGAAAATTCTAATGTCCTCAGTCCGTGACTAGTGATATTGAGCATGTTTCCATGTACTTGTTGGCCATTTGTGCATCTTCTTTGGAGAAATGTCTGTTGAAGTCCTTTGTTCATTTTTTAACTGCGTTGTTTGTCTTTTTGCTGCTAACTTGAAGAGTTTTTTATATGTTCTATGTACCAGACTCTTACCAGATACACTATTTGAAAATATTTTCTCACATTTGTGGGCTGCCTTTTCACCTTCCTGATGGTGTGCTTTGATGCACAAAATCTTTTAATTTATCTATTTTTTCTTCTGTTGCTTGTGCTTTTAGTGTCATATCCAGGACACCATTGCTAAATCCAAGGTCATGAAGATTTACCCCTATGTTTTCTCCTAGGAGTTTTATAATCTTAGCTCTTACATTTAAGTCTTTGATTCATTTTGAGTTAATCTTTGTACATGGTGTGAGGTAAGGGTTTAATTTTATTCTTTTGCATGTGGATATACAGTTGTCCCAGCACCATTTGTTAAAACCACCATTTGTTCTGAGGTGAGATAGATGGTGGACTAGAGATGACATGACCCCTCTCATGGCAAAGGACCAGAACAACTAGTAGACAGCTAAATATTGATGGGAACATCTATGGGGGAGTGCAGGAGCACAGCAGGAGACTGGTAAGATCCCTGTGGAGCATGAAAGTCCAGAATGGCAGCATAGAGATCAGAGAGAGGCACACAGCCTCAGCCACGAAATCTCCTCCACCAGGATTGATTCAGGAAAAACATTCATTTGTGGGGAAAAGATAGGAAGAGAGCCCACACCAATCCCCATCCTC